TCAGTGTGCCCTGATGAGCAGTGTAGCCCCAGCAGCGCCACCTGTCAGTGTCCATCAGTGCCAGCTGTCAGTGCTCATCAGTGCCACGTGCCAGTGCCCATCAGTGCTATGCAGAGCCATACAAAGCAGTGTGCTGGAGCTGAGAGAGGACAGACCTGTACTGTTTACATACAGACCTGTCAGTGATACTTGGCGATTGCCGAGTGCCAGCGGGGATTCACCGGCCGGGACCGGTGATAGACAGCTGAAGCCGCCATTGGCGGTGCAGGTAAGGCTTGCACACGCCCCTTTCCCAGAAATACAAAATTGCATATATATATATATATATATATATATATATATATATATATAATATGTGTGTGTGTGTGTGTGATTTTGCGCAGCCCTGCAGCAGTAGTTCTGCTATAGGGTGGTTGGAAAGTGGTTAAAAGCAAGCAAAAAGGTAAGTAGAAATGTTTACAGTTGTGCTATGTCAATGATAACATAACAATTAAAAAGTAGGTGTTGTTCCCCCAATTTGGCTGCAAAAGTGAAAATATACTTTCAAACAATTTAAAAAATGGAAATATATTTAGTTTTTGTTTTAGTTTATTATTAAATAACATGTTTTACTTGCATTCTTGGAGTGATATTGGGGATTAGAAATTTTGGGAATCTGCTCATGTAATGCAGCTGTCCTTCTGTTGGATGTATTGTTGACCACTGTAGAAGAATCAGTTCCTCTTACTATCATCTATACCGGGTGTCGGCAACCCGCGGCTCCGGAGCCGCATGCGGCTCTTTTTCACCTTTCCTGCGGCTCCGGAGCACACACTGCCCACCAGGTGACAGGCAATAGGGTCGGCAAGCCGCGGCTCTTTTAATGCAGATCTTCTGTGTGCCGGGCGCCCGCTGGCAAACATTGGCTGTCAGGATGTAGGCGGGGCAGCCCGGATGTAGGCGGGGCAGCGTGACGAACTCCTCTCCTCTCACAGTCCGCCCTGAAGACCAGAACGGCGTGGGAACCCAGCGAGAGGAACGTGCGGAGCAAAGGTAAGTGAATTCACACAATATGGGGAATGAATTACTATGGGGGATGAATTACTATAGGGGGGGATGAATTACTATATGGGGGATGAATTACTATAGGGGGGATGAATTACTATATGGGGATGAATTACTATATGGGGGATGAATTACTATATGGGGGATGAATTACTATGAGGGATGAATTACTATATGGGGGATGAATTACTATGGGGGATGAATTACTATATGGGGGATGAATTACTATAGGGGGGATGAATTACTATAGGGGGGATGAATTACTATATGGGGGATGAATTACTATAGGGGGGATGAATTACTATAGGGGGGATGAATTACTATAGGGGGGATGAATTACTATAGGGGGGATGAATTACTATATGGGGGATGAATTACTATGAGGGATGAATTACTATGGGGGATGAATTACTATAGGGGGGATGAATTACTATAGGGGGGATGAATTACTATAGGGGGGATGAATTACTATATGGGGGATGAATTACTATGGGGGATGAATTACTATATGGGGGATGAATTACTATATGGGGGATGAATTACTATGAGGGATGAATTACTATGGGGGATGAATTACTATATGGGGGATGAATTACTATGGGGGATGAATTACTATGGGGGATGAATTACTATAGGGGGGATGAATTACTATAGGGGGGATGAATTACTATAGGGGGGATGAATTACTATATGGGGGATGAATTACTATAGGGGGGATGAATTACTATAGGGGGGATGAATTACTATAGGGGGGATGAATTACTATAGGGGGGATGAATTACTATATGGGGGATGAATTACTATATGGGGGATGAATTACTATGAGGGATGAATTACTATGGGGGATGAATTACTATATGGGGGGATGAATTACTATATGGGGGATGAATTACTATGGGGGATGAATTACTATGGGGGATGAATTACTATATGGGGGATGAATTACTATATGGGGGATGAATTACTATAGGGGGGGATGAATTACTATGGGGGATGAATTACTATATGGGGGATGAATTACTATATGGGGGGATGAATTACTAGGGGGGATGAATTACTATAGGGGGGATGAATTACTATAGGGGGGATGAATTACTATATGGGGGATGAATTACTATAGGGGGGATGAATTACTATAGGGGGGATGAATTACTATAGGGGGGATGAATTACTATAGGGGGGATGAATTACTATATGGGGGATGAATTACTATATGGGGGATGAATTACTATGGTGAATTACTATATGGGGGATGAATTACTATATGGGGGATGAATTACTATATGGGGGATGTATTTTCAGTTTTAAAAATGTTTCTCTCAAAATAAATTTCAATCGTGGTTTTGGCGAGATTTGGCTCAGTCGAAAAAAAAGGTTGCCCACCACTGACCTAAGGCTATGATTGTGATTATGACGATACACTGTGGCCCTGATTAACCCTTTGCTTACTGGGCCCTTAAACCCCCTTCATGACCAGAGCGCTTTTTGCAATATATGCAGTGTCGGATTTGTTTTAAATGTTGCAATGGTTTTGCGGCTCCCAGTCTTTTTTTCCCTCTCGGAAACGGGTCCAAGTGGCTCTTTATGTCTTAAAGGTTGCAGACCCCTGATCTATACCTATGAAGATATCTCACACAAACTAATAAAACGTCATTTAAAATCTTTGTGTCACAATATAGTCATTATCACTCGGGGTTTCGCTTGTGTCAACACAGAAGAGTATTCACAGATGGCGTAGTAATACATGCAGGGGCAGTATCAGACCTCTCAAGAGATCAATGCTTCCCCACAGGGAGTAAGGGTCCTACTCTGCACCATGCTGGCAGGGGACATGTTTTTCTACTCAAGCTGAGGCTGCTTTCTATAGAAAAACTGTTGGGACTTTGCACAGCTTTTATTTTGATGCCCCTGAAGTCCACAGTATTTAGCCAATTTAAAATGTAAGTTTGGGACATTTAGATTTAGGTTCACATGGGGCAATGTAATCAGTAAATATAATCCTGCACATGGCACAGTGAGGAGGGATGCACAGGTGTTGCATGTATCGTATCCCTGTGCCAGTAATCCCAGGGTGTGCTTGGGGCAGTGCACCCACACACACACGGATATCATATTGGAAGCAGCAGTTGTGTCCATACAGCCACAGTGTTCCAATGGATAGCAACAGGACCGCTGGCACCGAGATGCACACAACACGTGCGCATCTCCATACGCTGTAAACATGCTCCTGCACAGAGCACAGATTAAATTTGACTGTGTGAATGAGGCCTTATTCTTTGTGTATGATAGATAACTTTATAATCTGATTGGCTGATGTGGAGAGGCAGGCAGATGATGACTGCATGATTTTCAACATTTGCCAATCAGAGAAAGTCTTCTATTTATTATTAAAAATATAAGGCTTCTCCTGAATGGTGAAGGAGCACTCAATCCAACTCTTTTTAATTCTGGCAGCAAACAGGAAGACATTCCTACTGCTGTCAGAACACAGCTCTGCTTACTGTATATGGACTACAGGCTATTGGAACAGGCACAGCAGCTGCAACAGTCTGTAATGGAAATAGTTCATCAGCTTGGCAAAAACAACCTATATAAAGCAAAATGAAACTTGGAATTCTAGTTTAAAAGTGTATCCTAACCCAAAACAACATGTTTAATCTTCGCTCCATTTTGGTCTGTTAAATATACCACTGAAAGTATTTTATTATATCTGTCTTAATAGTTCTTAAAGGCAAGACCTTCCATGATTGTGTGCCTGATGGCATCGTGTTTTCCTATAGACTAGTGTAAGGGCTCATGCACATGGGCACATTTGCCTGTACAGTGTAAACACAGTGTACTTTGAGGTCTGGGATTGTCTTTGTACTGTGTACAGCCAACCATAGCAGCTTGGGTGCTGCTCCTTGTGTAAAATGGCACATACGTAACATGTAATGTCCCGAATGCACATTACCTGCGCCAAGAAATACTGGATGCCAAAATACACAATGGAGTTGATTTTCTAAAACTGGAGTGTGCAAAATCTGGTGCAGCTCTGCATAGAAACCGATCTACTTTGTTTTTTTTTTTGTCAAAGCTCAATTGAACAAGCTGAAGTGAGGAGCTGAATGGTGCGGCTGTGCATGTTAGCCAAACTATACACTCTCCAATTTTAGTAAATCAACCCCACCGTGTCTGTGCTATATGGGTAAATGCACACATGTGCATGAAGCCTAAAAAGGTTTTTAGTATAACGTTCCTTTCCACTGATAACGAATGAGGAAAATGAGCAGTTTTTGACTTGGACAGATATCTGGAGTCTCAGAGAATGTTCTCTAGCAAAAGCCTCATTTCAACTTTATTTTTTAATTAGGCATTTACTTGGTCCACAAGCTTCTCACAAACCAACCAGTAGCTTCATTACACCAATTAAAGCTCATCATTGCCTCTGGCTTATAACACGACATGGCAGTCCGATGATGTAGGCGACCATAGAATATTTACAGGACTTCACTGTGCCTTCAGTGGTCACATTCCTTTACAAACTGCGCTAGTATGCAGAATAGTGGCTTTTTTGTGGTTCCACTTTAATCATGATGATTTAGAGGAAATTGACCTCTCTCTGCCTGTTCTTCTTATAATACATCTTCAAGGTTGGATCTCTTGTTTTATGTAAAGAGCAGGCCATATAAAGTCCAACAACAAGAGATTGTCCACTCACAACGGATAATTCATTTTCTGAAACAGCGTATCTCTCACAGGCCCTAGTGGTGGAAGTGCTTCACTTTCCAGATCTTCATACCTGACGCGACACTTGTGCAGGTGTCCTGCTCTCCTTTTTTTGTCTGGAGATGGGAAAACCCAAAACTCCAAGCACTATGGCAGGGGGTTCCAGCCAAAAAAATCCAAGACAGAAGTAAAAGGTGACTGCTCACACCCTATAAAATAGAACAGTTAGGTTCAAGAGGCGATCGACACTACCCCAACAACCTGCTGTATTCTGATAATGCTGAAGACTTCTTCACCCCGTCCCAGATTCGAGCAGCATAGTGAAACCTACACAGAAAGGAAAAATGCAAAGTGTTCAAAAACGCACACACAAAAAAAAAAAAAAAAAACTAGAATCAATTGTAGAAGCTAGCTCCAGTGTTCTATAGTTGTTGCCTCTAATAAAAACGCAAATCAATACACAAACATATCTGAGCTTTCTCATGACATTGCAGTGAACAGATCCCAGGGTTCACCTACCAGTTCTTTTCAGTGAGGATGGTATGTGAGAGCTGTGGGCGTGACATAGACATGATCTGACTCCGCAGTTTGCTGATCATAGTGTGAAAGTTGGGGTGACCCTTATACCCAGGAAGGAGAGAGAAGAGGGGGTTTCCTCCCGAACCTACAGAACAAACATAGAAAACAGAATTTAAATATCTCTATAATACACAGCTGAATAGACCTGTAACACAATACAGCAATTCCTATGCTGAACCATTTACACCACTTACTCTGCAAGACCTTAGTTCTCAAGAACCCTTCATTGTGTTATAATATACATTTACATTAAGGAGAAAAAAAAACAAAATATGTGTTACACTATGGGTGTAAATTAAAAGACAACTGTACAGCAATACAATTATCCTTTAAAGTGTATGTTAAGGCAAAAAACTCTTGAGTTTCGGATTGACTGGAGTGAGCTTAGGCCCTCTGTCAAGTTTTTTTTTTTGTCATCTATGTCCCAGCTAGGGGGAATCATTGCGGTGAAAGGTGGGAATACATATATATATATATATATATACACACACACACACACATACATACATACATACACACATTTCAAAATTAAGAATAAGTGATATACCAGCTCTTGAGATGGTTTCATCAGTTTCATTCTCCATCATGGGCACTAAAAACAAATTCACTTCTGACTCCAGGAAGTCATAGGGTAATCCTGGGAAGATATTGCAGTCCAGCATGGAGAGAGTGCCTAAAGCAGAGTCAAAGGTCATGCGTTTCATCATAAAAATAAAATAGTAACAATTCAGATGCAAGGCTGTATACACAGCTGTGTTCAATGTGTAGATGGAAAGAACAAACTATCAATATTGATCAATGGTTGTCATACATGAAAATATTACCACTTCAGGTGGTCCTACAGATAATCTGCCTGCCACGGGTGCATACCTACTGTATTCCCCACAGTATCCAGATACAAACAGGCTGCATTTCTACAGTTTTTCTTAATATCCAACAAGCTTTACTGCAAGTAGTGCAAATTTGCAAAGCCAGAGTTTAGCACGTTGCTCACAGGTACACTGTCTCCTACTCCTTTGAGCATTTCTCCCAAACAGGGGCTTGATCATGAAGGTGGAATTACCTTCATAACTATAGCCGACCATAGATGGTTTGAATCTCTTACCGATTTGACAGGGACCAGCAGAGATTCAATCCATCTATGGGCAGGCTGGTTGTACTGAAGTCAATCCATTAACAGACTTCAGTACAAACAGCCTGTCAAATTTTTGTTGTAGTCACTGCCAAGGGCTATAGCCACTAGCAGTGATCATTGTGTTCTGAAAGCAGGAAAGACTCCCCAGTGGAAAAACACAATAATGTTGCAGGAGAGAACAAAGTGATTTAATTTATCACTATTGCAGAAGAGTCTCTGCATGTTTATTTATGACCCTGTATGTCTCTTCTCTAATAAAAGTGGCTCTTCTACCTGTCAGCAATGTTTCTTTAGAATGTACATTATTATTATTATTATACAGTATTTATATAGCGCTAAAAGGTTTGCTCAGCGCTGTACATTATAGTGGGGGACAGTACATGAGACAATACAATACACAAGGGGGTCAAGGGCCCTGCTCTTTCAAGCTTACAATCTAGGAGTTGTACATGAGCAGCTCACTGCACATATTCAGCATACCTTTGGGATACACATGAGTGGGATTAACATCATCCCAGATAAGTCACTCAAGATGGCCAAAAGACATCACAATGTCAGTATTCTTGGGGACAGGGAAGTGCTTTGCCACGCAAGTCTGACATAATGTGCAAATATGCAGTGCCTTCTTGTACATTATGACAAAACCTCTGAGCACCAGCAGTGGAGTTTAGTGCAAACCTGCGCTTTGCATATTCACAGTGACTTTACCACTTTCCACCCCTCCCCCCAAGCCCCCCCAGCAGATGCTCCATTCAGCCTGGGAGCTGAAGGAAATTCCAAGTATATCTGAGTATGGAAGAGCATGAGACTCCATCCATGTGCCCGGGCCAATCAGAAGCCCATAACCCTGAATATATCTCCATCTATCTGTAGCTTACAGAGGGCTTCCTTTCCGCTCATGAAGCCTGAACTGAGCAGTGCAAGGAAGGTACGTATAAGCTGATGACCATATTGATCTGTCCTGTATGGGAAAAGCACAAGTTCACTTTAAAGATACCCTGTGACCCCCCCCTACCTTCCCCTTAAACACTGCAGGTAAAAGCACAGATAAATCTAATATTTTAAATGGATTAGCTGCTGTGCTTTTCCTTTACATAAAATGAATTTTATTCACTTGAATATGCCTTTGAATTTTCTAGAAAAATCTGGACTACTGCAGGAGGAGTCAATTTCCTAGCACATCATAGTCCTGTCCTCTTCTGGGATAGACTAAGTGCTGTCTGGGCTGGCCCAGCATCTCTTCCCCTCCCGCCCCCTACATAACCTTTTATGTTGTTGGAGGAATGAAGGGGAACACTATAGAGTCTTCTGTTGCTGCTGACATCACATCCAAGATGGCAGCACCCAGCAGCAGTCTCGAGACTTGGGAAGTCTACATACGGGAAGCTTTGACAGGTAAAAAATATGCATAAAATATGTAAAATGGACATATATTCTTAAAAAAATCTTGTTGAAATGAATGGTATGGCAACTAAATTCTCTTTAAGCGACTGCCTTGATACAATATCAAAACGTAAAATGCTTTTGGATTTCTATACACACCTTGGCAATTTAAAAAAAAAAAAAAAAAATACTGCAAGATAATCTAATAGCTAAAATACAAGAAATAAAGAAAATGCATTGAATTACCTTGGCTTTACACAGGATGACAGCTAGATCTCCTTCACAGATACAGCAGGACTAGCGGAAGGTGAACATACCTTTATATCGGAGGCGGGAGTGCATCATTAGCTTGTCAGTTACTGTGTGCATCTGCTTCAGGGTGCGGGGACAGAAGTCCTCCCTCTTGGCTTTATTCTGCAAGAACACTGCAAGACAAGGAGGAAGATTGTGGAGATGCACTGTTACAACCGTTAAAAGAAAAATGCTACAACCAGCAAGGCTCCTGAGAACTACAGAATGCGGACTTGCAGTCCTGACAAAGAAAGATGGGGTGTCAAACTGCTACAGATGTCTTCATATTAGGTGGAGCAGTCTTTATCTGCAGTCTACTACATGGGCACAGGCTTTTCTACTCAAGCTGGGGCTGCTTTAGAAAGAAAACAATGGTATGACATTGAGAAGCTTCTGTTCTGCTGCACTCTGAGTTTATATATCTCACAAGCATTAGTGCCCTAACCCTCTTGAATTGAATTTTATTGTGACTGTACGGTCTCAGTTTATTGTAAACCCCTTTATGCTACCTGCTGGCGCTATGCAAATCCTCGAATGTAATAATAATATATCACCTTTTAGCCCTTTTTGCTGCAAGAGCCTTTTTTTTGCACACGTTGAGGCCTGAGGATTACCAAAATTCCAGAAAAAACATTATATATTTTCTGAAAGCAGAATAAAATTATAGATTCTAACTTTCTGTACTGAGCTGAAAATGCTACAAAGGAATCTCAAATTAAGTTTTCAGCCCTGCTCAGTTCACCTCTGTTACCTGAAAGAAACTCTCCCCTATGGTATGGGAATAAGGAGAGAGAGAGAGAGGTGTTCTGTAGTCCGAACACAATTCCCTCCCCTAGGACAGTTATCACCAAGTGAAAATAAAGGAAAAAAAAGCAAGAAAAAAGGAAAAACAAATGAAGTTACCAGATCTAAGAACTGGGAAGCTGCAATATATGACATGTTTTGTTCTCAGATTTAGGTACACATTGGGGGGAATTTACTAAAACTAGGGCGTTCTGGTGCAGCTCTGCATAGAAACCAAACAGCTTCCAGGTTTTATTGTCAAAGCTTAAAAGAAAAGTATGGGTTATCTAAAAAAAAACCATGGTTGTGATCTTTTCAGAGCCTGGACTGGCTCCGATTGCAGCTGAAAGCGGGCTTTAGCCCGTTGTCGGTTGAAAACGGGTCACAGGAGTGAAGAACGAACTGCACTCTTGTGATCCCCGAGAGAAGTATCGCTAAAAGGAGGTTTGGCTATACTTCTCCCTTAATTCAACATGCTGAAGTTAGAAGCTGATTGGCTACCATGCACAGCTGCACCAGATTCCCAGTGCTCCAGTTTTAGTAAATCTCCCCCATTAAGGACTAGTTTAACCACTGTTCAGCCATGGTACAGTTTTCAATGGGAGATAAATACCTGTCGGGTGGTCAATCCGCCCAGTAATTGCTGTGTACCCAGCTGTCTTTAGATAGTTGGGTACAAAGAGACACTGTACCTGTTGATCAGAGGGTCTGGGTACCATGTGATCACATTGACTGTTCAACACAGCAATCACAAGGCATTGTTTACAGTGCCAATCCCTCCCCTTCCTATACAAAAGGGGAAGGGGAGAGTTTGAATAATTGTGAATGGGCACAGAATGAATAGATCAGCAACTGCAGAGTCATTCATTCTGTTTCACTGACATAGGGGTTGTTTTATTAACCTTTTCATGCCCCCCCACCTCACCTACACATACTATCTTCATGTTGTCACCATGTGATATACCATGTGTATATTAATCCTTTTACCACTCCTTTCCTGCATAGCTGAACATTAAAGGATAAGTTCACCTTTGGAACATCCCGTTTTTAGAGTGGAACATGTAACATGTTCCCATAGCTGCAGCTGCACCAGCCGCCCCTCTCCTTCTGACAGATAATACGGGGAGAAGTCTCCCCGTACTATCTGTCAAATTTGAAAACAGTGCAGCTGAGTCCTTCATTCATGGACTTCCGTGAATGAATAAACTGCAAGTTCTGACAGTCTTAGCAGCAGTGGGCTTGTAGCTTTCAATGAACTACCACGGCACTGTGGAGCACCGTGGTATTTCATTGAAGAATATCTCATTGCTCGTACATCCCGTACGGCAAGCAGATATTTTGACAGGTCTGCAGGAGGCCTGCATGGCATCAGTGATCTACTGATCGCTGGTGCAATGCTTTCCAGGCTCCTTTGGACAAAAATAATAAATGTACCTGCAAAAAAATGTGCATTTATTATTTTTGGCCAAAAGGTGAACTTATGCTTTAACCCTTTCATCTCCACCTGCCACTGTATATGACTAGTACATAAACCCTGACTTGACAAAGGACGCCACGCCTCCGAAACATGTCATCATAGCAGCCATGGCTGATGTTCCCTCCTCCCTTCCCCTTCAGAGCAGAGAGACAAACACTGAGGTCACTTACGGGAGACAATGCACCCAGACCTGACATATATGAGCTGCTGGCTTCCTTTATCTCTAGCAGCAAAACTGGAGATCTTAGCTCCACCCTTCTGTCACAACCAATCTCAGAAATATTGTTCTCCCCACTGATTTTTCAATATCTATTACATTATAGACAATGCTGCAAGAAAAGTAATACTCCATGGCAAGTGGAAAGAGATGGAAACTCTGAAAGAACAACCTGGTCAAAAGCCAGGTGGTGTCAACTCACAAATGAACATGAAAGTGAAAAGTTTAGAACGTTAAAGACAGCTGCAAAGTTATATGATATATCAAGAATACAGAATGACCACACCCAGAGAGAAGACATACCGATATGGGGGTAGTACTCAATGCCTTCATCTGCCCCTGATGAGCCACTGGACTCGTGGCTGGGGGACGGTGTTGATGGCTTCAGCATTTCAGCGGTCTGCAAAAATCTGAGAACATAAATAACAGTCACAGAACTGAAGTATCATGTTTTTTTTTTTTTTTTTGTGACAAAAGAATCAGCCAAGAGACGGTTACAGGGTCTCTGCAAAGCCCAAGCCCCCCTGCCCTTCCAAAATCTGCCACCGTTCCTTCTGGTCTACTGCTGCAAAATAAGTGATGCTTCCAGGGATAGAGGAGCATGTGACCTCCTCCCATTATGCAGTGCTCAGGTCTAGTGGTCAATCACTAAGCACTGTCATATGACATATGTTAGAGGGTGGCTTTAAAAAAGACACTGTTACCTTTCTTAAAGGAAGATGAGACAGAAAGGCGCGTCTAAGTGCAGTATATCCAAAATCACTTTAATGAAAACGGTTATAAATACTTACAGGATTGCAGTAAAAGCAGGCTCTGAATGATTCGTCATGATGCGGGGCTCTGTTCCCTATATGACAACCCACTGTGCCGACCAGCAGCTGCAGGGGGAGCTTGGGAGGGATGTTAAAGATGGCCGCCGCTCTTCCAGGACCACTGGAGCACACGCTGTCCAGAAGAATGCGGACCAGAAGTGATATGGAGCAGCGACGCATTTCGGGGCATGTGTCGAACTCCTTCTTCAAGACCGAGACCAAGATCAGAAGAGAGCCAAATAAATAGGATGAGGGGGCGGGGACAGGGTTTATTGATTCATTATTTATTAGTTTTAAATATCATGTACGTCCTATGTACTCCTTCATATAACATATTATATATGTATTACATTCTAGTGGCTTGGTGACCATCATGCAGCCCCATGGAGCACCCTCCTCACTGTCTCCAGCGGCAACCAGCTTGTAAATTTTTTCTCCCCCTTCCCCCCAATTTCCCCCCCCCCTCATTTCTCCCTTCCCTCCCAGCACATATTCATAATTTATTTTAATTCCTTTGCCCAGTCTTATTATCAGTATTTTTCCTCGCACATTTTTGTGGTTTTAATTCTTCCCTCTTCCTTGCAATCCAAATTGTGCCCACATCGTTATATTTTTTTGGTCTTTGGGAGGCGGGCACCTCTGTCCCCTCATCCTATTTATTTGCCTCTCTTCTGATCTTGGTCTCGGTCTTGAAAAAGGAGCTCTGCGCATGCTCTGAACCGTGTCACCGCTCCATGTCACTTCCGGTCCGTGTTCCTCTGGACAGCGTGTGTTCCAGTGGTTCCGGAAGAGTGGCGGCCATCTTTAACATCCCTCCCAAGCTCCCCTTGCAGCTGCTGTTCGGCACAGTGGGTTGTCATATAGGGAACAGAGCCCCGCATCATGACGGATCATTCAGAGCCTGCTTTTACTGCAATCCTGTAAGTATTTATAACCAATCTCATTAAAGTGATTTTGGATACACTGCACTTAGAAGAGCCTTCCTGTCTCATCTTCCTTCACATACAGAGCTTGCTTCACTCTCAGAAGTGCTGCACAGTGCCTGTGTTCCAGTTCATCACCATCACTTGCTGACAATTCTTCACCCCACAGCATCCTCCACTGATGTGCCCTATACACATCCTTCATTCTACCTTTCTTAAAGGGTCTCTTTAAACTAACTCCAAATACATTCTGCCTATTCAGGCAACTAAAATGAGCCACAATAACTGATTAACTGGCTAGCACAGACATTATCAGATCTCTAATGTGTCTGCCAGAGCACGCAGCATTTATGGTTCCCTTGAGCAACAGACCTTGTTGGAGCTTCACAAAGCCTTACCCTCTTAAGCTTATACCTGATTCCATTGGTTTAAACTGATTTGACTTTAACCTCTTGCTGTCCGCCTACTGTTGATAAACGGCAGGGCGGTGGCACTCCAGGGGCGGGTTGCCGTTCATAAACGGCACCCGCCTTTTCTATCTGTGCACGCTCCTTGGGAGCGCGCAGCACCGCGATCCAGTGCCCGCTGTGTCCTCCGGACACAGTGAAACACCGATTGTCGGACGGGACCTCTGTACGAGGTCCCGATCATGTGATAACTGATTGGCCAATCAGTGATCACACGCAAAGTAGTAAGCAAGATGTCACTTGTGACATCATTGCTTACTACGTGTGAAATCTGTGAATGATCACAACAGCCTTGTACCATGTGACAAGGTGTGACCAATCACAGCTCACTCAGTATTTCTCAATGGCTGCAAGAATGCAGACAGAGAGAAAGAGAAAGAGAAATGATTGCTTTTACATCCTATATGGGTGTAAAAGCAATCACTGTAAAAAAAAAAAAAAAAAAAAAAAATCTTCATCACCCCCACAAGTAGTACAGTGTCACCATGGTGACACTGTACTGCTAGGGTGACAGTATGTAAAAAAAACAAAAAAAAAACCCATAAATCATGATATAAAAAAATAAAATAAAAATGTAAAACAAATGTTTAAAAATTATAATTTTTGGTTATAAACTAATTTGGCTTATTTTTTTTTTACTAAAAATATAACGGAATAAATTTTGGTCAAGATTTATTATGAAAGATTATTTATTTGCAAAATTTTATAAGAAAAAACACTTTAAAAATTTTTGGACATTTTCATTTACATAGCAAAAAAAAAAAAAAAAATCCCAGCGGTGAATAAATACCACCAAAATAAAGCTTTATCTGTCTCAAAAAAATGGTAAAAAATTCATATGGGTACAGTGTTGCATGACTGCGCAATTGTCATTCAAAGTGTGATAGCGCTGAAAGCTGAAAATTGCCCTGGACAGGAAGGGGGTAAAAGTGTCCGGACATGAAGTGGTTAAAGGCAATCTACAAGTCAGATTTTGGGTATTCCCTGCAACAAAAATGTCATTTTTGGTAAGATACTCCCCAAAGAGAAATCACATCTAAAAAAGGATACAGATCTTGCCACTTTCCTCATTACAGCCCTGAAGCTGCAACAGCTGACTTGATATTTATAAAATCACTCCCATATAGATTCGCTTTGCACATGGACACAGACAAACAAACAGCTGTACCTTCAGAATAACAAAAAGGTACGTATCTGCAATAAGGTTTGTTAAAATACCTGCAATACACATTAATCATCCAGAGGGGAATGTTTTTTTTCCCTCAACAAAAGTGAAGTTACTCTTTAAGTTAGAACAAAACCGGATATGTCAAATTTCTTCATCCAAATAATGCAAGAATATAAAGAAAGCCATAGATAGGCAGTTTACTCCCCAAAACAATGGGCACAAGATATCCACATGGACAGGTGCCCATGAATTTTTCATGAACTCACCAGACAAAGTTAATGACGTGGACCCTGCTATTGCTTGTTTATGCAGCATAAACATATTTTCAAGGCCAGTGAATCCAATATTGTTCTCTCCTGACCGGACACTCTACTTCTACACATTCTGTCCAGCACCATCATCTGTTTCTGACTTCACCAGGAGACTTCTGCTTCTTGCAGCCAGTCCCCTGATGATATGGCACTAGATCTTGCTTTGTTATTCTATTTACAGCACATGGCTCAGAAATAAGATATTGCCTAGTTGCATAGATGGAAACGATAACCTCTTGGGATATGTGACGTAGGTATACAAGGAAGGAGTGGCAGGACAAAGAAAATGTCATCCTGGCTTAGCCGAGAGGGAAATGGTAGAGTGCTCCAGAACACTGAAAAAATAAGCTACATGGAAATGAATTGGAAAAAAATGTCAGCATTTTAGTAAGGAAAAGGGGGTGGAAAGGAATGGGAGACTGATTTAGACAAAAACTAAAACTATCAAGTCAATGATCAGCCAAGTGCTTTATGTGATCAGTAGCCTTTGTTAACACCTAAGATAGCCCTGAGCAGCCCCAAGTTGCAATACTATCAGGTATTAGATCAGACTGTTTATGGTCACCTAAATAATCATTTTAGAATTTACAGCTTTTACAAATGTACCTGAATGTTGTTAGATTGACATATACACTGAAAAAAAACACATGCAGTTCTGTGAAAAATTTTTTGCCCCCTTCCTGATTTTTTTTTTTGCATATTTGTCACACTTAAATGATTCAGATCAAACAAACTTTAATATTAGAAAAAGATAATCCGAGTGAATACGAAGTGCACTTTTTAAAATGATAATTTAATTTATTAAAGAGGAAAAAAAAAAAAGCTGTCCAAACCTACCTGGCTCTATGTGAAAAAGTAATTACCCCCTAAACCTAGTAACTGGTTGTGCCACCCTTGGCAGCAACAACTGCAATCAAGTGTTTGTGATAACTGGCATTGAGTCTATCACATTGCTTGGATGCACACCTTCCAAAAAGTTAAACTTTTGTCTTATCAGTCCACAGAATATTTGCCCAAAAGTCTTGGGGATAATCAAGATGTTTTTTGGCAAATGTGAGATGCACCTTTGTGTTTCATTTGGTCAGCAGTGGCTTTTGCCTCGGAACGCTCCCATTAAGACCATTTTTGCCCAATCTCTCTCTTACTGTTGAATTAGGAGCACTGACCTTAACTGAGGCAAGTGAGGCCTGCAGTTCTTTAGATGGTGTTCTGGGTTCTGTTATGACCTCCATTGAGTCATCATTGTGCTCTTGGAGTAATTTTGGTAGGCCAGCCACTCCTGGGAAGGTTCACCACTGTTCCAAGTTTTCTCCATTTGTGGATAATGGCTCTCACTATGGTTTGCTGGAGTTCCAAAGCCTTAGAAATGCATTTTTAACCCTTTCCAGACAGACAAGTCAACTACTTTGTTTCTTATCTGTTCCTGATTTTCTTTAGATCGCTGATGCCATGCAGGTCTCCTGCAGACCTGTCAGCATATCTGCTTGCCGTACGGGATGTACGAGCAAGCAGATATTCTGACAGGAAGCTTCAATGAACAACCACGATTGCTCCACAGCGCCATGGTAGTTCAATGAAAACTACAAGTTCATTCAGAGAAGTCCATGAATGAATGAATGATGTGGCCATGTGGGCGGAACCGGCAGCGGTTGCGGCTATGGGAGCATGTTACATGTTGCACCCTAAAAACGGGTGGAACATGTAACATGTTCCCAAAAGGTGAACTTATCCTTTAAAAGCCATCTCACCGGTATATGCTGAAGTCAGTGAACCAATCCTGGACAACGATAACCACGTGGCACACAGTGAACAAGAAAGCAGCAATCTGTAGTGACTGAGGAGACAATAGGAGATACATGTAAGAAAAACAAATAAGAGCACTTGCAGTAAACATGTTTATTAGTGAAGGCATGGATATTTTAGTGCAGCATTTTTACAAGCACACAGGTTGGGGAAAACAGTGCGAATTAAGCTGAATCTAGCTTGTCTGCAAGATCAGACAAATGACAGCACTGCAAGCTGGGTATATAGTTCTATAGCAGCTGCTATAGAACTAAATACCCAGCATGCAGTGCTGTCATTTGCTGATCTTGCAGACAAGGGCACAAGTGGCCTGAGCTTGACGCAGGTACAGACCAGATCTTGAAAGACAATATGTACAGTAGCTACTCAAACCAATTTATATTTGTGATGCTCACTTATGTTGTGAAATGCTTTGTGAAAGGTATTTATTAGCAGCCAATTCCAAGAATTTGTATATTTGAAATAGTATGCAATTTCCCCTAATGCTGGTCTATGCAGGGCAGGAGTGGAATCCTTTTGACCAATATGGGCAGCCCCAATTTCTCACCCACATCAACATTATACTTCCAGATCATAAAGTGGGCAGTATGTAAAAGATACTGAATGGCTGGAGCGTGTTTTTCTAATTCCCTACCTGAGGCCAAATACCTATACTACCACCCTGCAGCCTGACAGTTTGACAGAAGTCAACATTTGAACAGAAACTGAAGTCAATAAAAAAGGAAGAAAATATCTGAACTGGCTGCATGACAAAATATTCTAGTCGGCTGAAGTTTAGTTTTAAATACATCCTCCAAATGCCATTTAAATGGAAGGAGGAGCACAGACTACCTGCACAGAAATAATAATTCATACCCCAGCCTTTGTTCTGTACTCCAAGCATTCCTATCCCAACAATCAAAACCCTGTTAGTTGTGGCGGTTACATTTTTTGGTCTAAAATTCAACATTGCAAAGGAACACTAAACCGCATGAAGAAGAGGTTATACTTATCTTCTCTGTGTAACAATATTGCACAGAAATGTTACCTGCTTTTCTGACAGTCCTCTGCCAGCACTGTCCTCTCCTCCTTCGGGTGCCCCCTTAGCAAGCCAAGTGCTACAGAGGCACCCGTGCATGCACACACAGCCCAAGCTGGGCTGTGTGCATTTATAGATGCACACAGCACTGTAAACCACGCCCTCACTCCTCCCTCACAGAATTTTGACTGACAGCAGCAGTAGCCTACGGCTCCACTGCTTTTAGTTTCTCTTGTGAAAGTAGGAAGTGAAGGGAGCAAAAAGAAAGTCAGTGGGCATTTATAGACACACACAGCACTGTAAACCACGTCCTCACTCCTTCCTCACAGAATTTTGACTGACAGCAGCAGCAGCCTATGGCTCCACTGCCTTCAGTTTCTCTTGTAAAAGCAGGAAGTGAAGGGAGCAAAAAGAAAGTCAGAGGGCGCCTCTGCTGAAGACAGTAGCCTCTATGTGGATGACATCTGGAACATGCACCCGGCAGTACTTCCAAGGCTCTGTTGGAGTATGAGAAAGGAAAAAAAAGCACTTCTGAGTGCAGTATTCCACTGTAAGTTTTATTAGGAAACGGTTAAAAACACTTACAGGATAATGGCGGTAAAAAGGCTCATCAGTGAAGTCTATGCGGGGCTCCTGTCACTGTGGATCTTCTCTCAAAATGCTGTGCCGACCAGCGGCTGCAGGGGGAGCAGAGAACACAGGTCCAAGATGGCCGCCGCTCTTCCGGGTAGCATGGTGGAACGCACAGTGCCGGCGTGGAGCGCATATGCCGGAAGAGACGCAAAAAAGAGTTGGTCATGCATTTTGGAGCATGCGCGGTAGGCTCCTCCATCAAGACTTGAACCCCATCGAGATGAGCCAGTAGCAAAGGGAGAGATGCTGGAGCCAGGTAAGTGGGTAGGTAAGACAGGTAGTGGTGCATTACGATAAAAGGACCTTATATTTTAGAAACACTTTAAATCTTAAGTCCAGATAGTAATGAAATAACTGCCCCCCCACCACCTCAGCATATGAAAAATATATTGCTTATTTTTCTAGGGGATGATCTAAAGAAGACTAACGTGCTTCAATCTCACTACTTCTGCTTGCAATAACTGGTCTCATGAAGCTTTCCTTGTTATCAGGCTTGTTGCCACCCCCTTTCCAATGTTACCATGAAAAATGCAGGACCTGTGGTTTTGCCCTATCCTAACGTGGACACTGGTCCTGCATTGAACATGATGACAAAGGAGTGACCACCCACATTCCAGCACTAGAGAGCGGCAAAGGGGCAGCTGGCTGTAGCCGGACTGTGGAGCATTACTCTAGGTTACATCACACCCTAGGTAATTATTATATTAATTAATGGGGGAAGTGGGAGGAAGAATTATTTATATCACAGCATGGACTTAGACTTCTTTAAATCAGAATAAACTGCAAGGTTGGCTGGATTAAATTAGCAGTGAAGAAAAAAGTGGATTTACATCTGAAGCAATCATTCACATATTACCTGCATCTCTACATAGGTGTGTGGAAGGTTGTATTCCGGAGGTAGCTTGCGGTCATTGTTTATCAAATGATCCAATATCGCAGGGCTTAGAATGGGCTAAGAATAAAAAAAAAAAAATAATTTAAAAAAAAGTTATACAGCTAACAATATGCTCTAACTATAGCTGGATCAATGGTATTCTTTCCACAAATTGCAAATTAAAGAAAAAGTTTAAACACGTGATTGATAGAGAAACTTGCTCTAGTATGCCCTAATAACACAAAACAGACTCTGCAGAAAATTCAGTGTTAGGGGGCTAGAAAGCATTAGTTTATTTATTTCAGGTACTTATATAATGCCGTCAATTTACGCAGCGCTTTACATATATATTGTACATTCACATCAGTCCCTAACCCTCAAGGGGTGTACAATCTAAGGTCCCTAACTCACATTCATACATACACATATTAGGGCCAATTTAGACAGAATCCAATTAACCTACCAGTATGTCTTTGGAGTGTGGGAGGAAACCGGAGTACCCGGAGGAAACCCACGCAGGCACAGAGAGAACATGCAAACTCCAGGCAGGTGACGCCATGGCTGGGATTCGAACCAATGACCCTAGTGCTGCCAGGCGGAAGTGCTAACCATTTAGCCACTGTGCTGCCAAGGGTGCTTTTATCTGTACCCACAGCCTGTAAGATCTGTAATAAATGTATATATGCACTTATATGGCACATTCTCACAGACTGACAAGTTTGGCTCTCAAAGCTGACTTAGAATAGTAGTAATGGGACACTTGTAGCCATCCATGATATTATTGGACCTTTCTTTTTACCAAATAGGTTAGAGAGTTAGCCTTGGAGCATGCACACACAGGCCAAAACAAAGTTTAGATCTAAAATGTTTTATTCTGTTACATAAGTTCTCCATGTACAGGGTACATTGACTCTCTTGACACTGCAGTCCTTCCCTACCTGTGTGTCCAGGTAGATTATCCTCTCTTGGCTGATAAAGAAGTCAATGCCACTTGTCTGGTTCCCAGCTCTCTCCCTCACCTCTTGACTCTGCATTCTAAAGACGTATGATCTGCAAGACAGAGAAATACACAAGGCCTTCTGCTTATAACTGGTTCTAAGGCAATAACAACAAAGTGAAGTCTTTATTGGTCTTCCATATTGCACTGGGGAGATACAGTATATACCCAAAATCCTTGCTTTTGAACTCCTTCTGTTGTGTAAAAAGGGTGCTAGCACCTAAGACCCCTGCCCTGCTATCTGCTGAATCCTACTGACCTTAGCTTTAGACAACTTTTTCCAAATTACACATCCTCATGCAGGTAGTCCCATTCATGTCAACTGAGAGGAAGTAGCTGCACTGACACAGCTGCTGCTCCCAATCTGGCATCCATGTGGGTGCGTGTCCCTGAACTCACACTGTTTGCATTCGAGGACACACAAGCACCTGCAGCTACACAGATGTCAAATTGGCAGCAGTGGCTGTCTCTGTGCAGCCGATGGGTCCAAACTGACATGAATGGGACTGTCTGCACAAGGATGGAAGGAAGACCTGTGCATCCCATACAGGCAAAACACTGTTCTCAAGCGGGTGTTCATTTTAGTATGTGCATGTGAACAAGGCCAAAGATATGATTAGTTAAAGTGCATTAATGCTAAACTATAAACAATGTTTTTCATTTCCTAATGAGTGCTGCAGAGTGACAGTTTTATGGCAGGTGTTTGAGTGAGTGAAAAGCTTCCCAGTGGGGTTATGGATAGAAACAGTGACCATCTGATGCCTGTACAAGAAATGTGGGTTTCAGACATCACTGGGACAGAAAGTCAGGGACAGTAACAAAAACTTTAGTAAGAGGTTTTAAACCTTCCTTTCTGAATTGAAGATATATATTTTTGATTGTGTCTGGGCATGTAAGATGTCTGTGTCCCTTACCATGCACTGTGTTTACGTCCAATGGCCCTTACTTCAATGCAGAGTTCTGAAGTGATGTAGATAGTAGGAGATATGGGCTCCTGGAGTGGGATGTACAATACCTATTCTCTTGTAAGAAACTTTCTGCTTGTTTTTAGACTTAATTTACCTTTGATCATCATCTGGAGAGTTGGCAGAAAGAAGAGACATCATCGTGGACTTCCCTGTACCCTGAAATCCAAGAACTCCAACCACAAGGACATCTGTCTGGTCCAGTAAATAACAAGAAAGAGACAATAGTACTGCAGAAAGCAGTATAACTGTCCTAGACTGGGTGAAGATGTCACTGTTCTTAAACTAAAGATCTAATTTTCTCTCTATGATGTGTTTTCACAAAGCTGCGCACTCCTATTCACAGATATTGTAAGGTTAATGTTCTCTGAACATTGCTTATGTTTAACCACCTCCCGCCCGCCATATGGTAATATGAAGGACGCAAGGTGGTTCTCTCGTTCTGGGAGGACGTCATATGACGTCCTCCCATTCTAAATGTGCAGCTCCCGGAGCCCACAGCACGGCGATCGGCGGTGCGCTGTGTCCCTCGGACACAGCGGATCACCGATCCACGGAAAGAGCAGAAGTTGTCGGCTCGGTCATGTGATCAGCTGTGTCCAATCACATGTAAACAGGAAAATGCCGGTTATCAGCATTTCTCTCCCCACGAGCTGTCACACTGACAGCTCATGAGGAGAGCTGGTAATCGGCATTCCTTGGAGAGGACATGTACACAGATCATCAGAGCACTGATGATCAGTGTGCCCTGATGATCTGTGTAGGCCCAGCAGCACCACCTGTCAGTGTCCATCAGTGCCAGCTCTCAGTGCTCATCCATGCCACCTGCCAGTGCCCATCAGTGCCACATATCAGTGCCCATCTGAGCAGCCTTTCAGTGTCACCCATCAGTGCCAGTCAGTGCCACCTACCAATGCCAGTCAGTGCCACCTGTCAGTGCCGCCTATCAGTGTGCATCAGTGCCGCCTATCAGTGCCAGCTAAACAGTGCCAGTCAGTGCCATATATGAGTGCTGCCTTTCAGTGCCCATCAGTGATGCCTGTCAATGCCCATCAGTGCCACCTACCAGTGCCTCCTCATCAGTGTCCATCAGTGCCCATCACTGCAGTCTCATTAGCGCACATCAGTGAAGGAGAAAAATCACTTAATTACAAAAGTTTATAACAAAAACTAAGAAAACAAATTTTTTTTTCAAAATTTTCAGTGGTTTTTGGTTTAAGAAAAAATAAAAAACCCAGAGGTAATTAAATACCACCAAAATAAAGCTCTGTCACAAAAAAAATAAAAATTTCATATGGGTACAGTGTTGCATGACCGCACAATTGTCATTCAAAGTGCAACGGCGCTGAAAGCTGGAAATTGGCCTGGGCAGGAAGGGGGTATAAGTGTCCTGTAAACTATTGGTTAAAACTGTGAGTCCTCCAAAAACAGATATTTTTTTAGATTTTGGAAAGTGCTGCTGAGTTTTTCAGACTAACCTTTTCAGCAAGTACAAAAAATTGATCTCGTCAGAAATGCCGTCCTTGTCACTTCCTCTGAGATGAACTGAAAACACTAACGATGTTATCGTCCTACTGTAAACTACTAATCTCGCCACCCCTATGTAACGAGATGAACATAATACTTGTTTAACCACTTGCCAACAGTGCTATAGCTGATTGACAGCTACAGTGCGGTTGTCCAGTTCTGGGAGGGCGTCATAGACGCCCTCTCGTACACCCCCCGGGGGCACGCACCCGGCAATCTCCGTGATCGCTGTGTCCTACGGACACAGTTGATGACGTGATGTGGTAAAACGCCATTCACAGTGGCCTTATACCATGTGATCAGCTATGTCCAATGACACAGCAGATCACCGGTAAATGAACTGTCAAAGCGTGAGGAAAAGTACTGCCGATAACCGGCAATTGTCAGAGGACAGATCAGTACCGATGATCAGGGCACTGATGATCAGTGCCCAGCAGTACCACCCACCAGTGCCGCCCACCTGTGCCCATCAGTACCTAGTGCCACCCACTACTGCCACCACAGATAATCACATGACACAGCTGGGCTGTGATTGGCCCAGCTTGTGCATGTGATCACTGTGACCATTCACAGCTAGCCACACTTGCATACAATGGATGGCATGATAGGAAGCCATCCACTGCATACAACTGTCATGTGACCTGCTGTGATTGGTCACAGCAGGTCACATGGTACCGGCAACGGGGCCGGTACTCAGATCTGTCATCGACCGTGTCCGAGGTACACGGCCGGTGACAGATCGCGCCGCTGTATGGCTCTGCGGGCATGCAAACTGCGCATGCCCGAAAGGACGCCATATAGCGTCCAACCGGAGCGGTGAGGGTTTTTGCCGGCCGCCATTTGGCCATGGGCCGGCTGGGAACCGGTTAAAGGACAGCCTGGATGACAACCATTGCTATTTCAATAAATAGAGTTAATGAGTACTGTCACACAAGGACAGAAGTGTAGCATTCAAGGGATTACCAAATAAACAAAAGGAAAACAAAAAAAACTAATGCAGCCACCATAGGGACCGTTAAGCTGCTAAATATTTCCTTTTTATATTTGGACATAGATATGATTTAAAGTGTTACTAAACCCAGGACCCTGCTTTCACTATATCTGGTCTCCCACAGTACACAGAACATGAAAATGCAATTAATGTAGTAAATATAAACTGCTAAATACCTTTTCTCTTCAGCAGTTAGAGCAGTCTTGTGACTTCTATCAATGTCCAGCTCAGCACTGGTTAAAGCATGTAATTTTCATTCTCCTCTGACTGTCCTATGAGGTGGCATGACCCCTGACCTACTGTCTAGACAACACTGCTTGGCCGTATGTTGATCACATACACTCTCCCGGAAAAAAAAAAATCCTCTCTAGCCATACACACCAAACTGAGCATGTGCAGAGTCACTCCTAGGGCTCTGCACTATCAGCAGATGGATTGGGGAAAGTGGAAGAAGAGGAGAATCAGAGAGGACAGTAGTAAACATCTTTTACACAATGCAGAGGATTAACTCTTTAGGCTGCACAGTGAGTATAACAAGCATGCTTTACTGCATATACAGACCGAGTTTACTGTTGTGGGTTTTGTAACACTTTAAAATGTATCCACTTTGTGTGGCTGAATCTCTGTATTTAGGCAACTCTTAGCCATACAACTGGGCACGCTAGAAATATATATACCACACAGAGAAGGGTTTAGATTAGACATCAAGCTGACAAGTTTCTAAAGCAGACTTGATTGTTCTCCATCTTGCTTTAGAGAATTACAAACCTTAGTTGTTTTATATTTGGGTCACAGCTGATCACAAAGGCATGCACCTACCTCAATGGCACTGTCACACCAGTTCATGTATTCATCCACCAGTTTGATGCTGTGTTTCATCTTCTGAGGAGGCATCAGTTTTGCCTGGCCAACCACAGCTGTAAAGTAAAAAAAGAAGGAAACCTTAAAAAAAAAACAAAAAACAAAAAAAAAAAACACAAGAACTCCACCAGTACCCCCCAAAAATTCACCAAGACTCCAGTCTGATGCATTCCTGTCTCCCTATAAAAGTATTGGAAACCAATTTTCTTTGTCTCCTGCAGCACTCACTAGTTCCTCCAGGTCACTACTTTGTACTACATTGACTCGGAGGTCAGCAGAAGAACCCAGGGAGAGCTGCATCCGAGTGATGTCCAGTAGTGCAAGAAGCAGGCGAAATATATATATTTTTTTTTTTATAGGTATGTGCTTTGCTCAGTGTTTTTACAATGTGACCGGGTCTTTATTAAAAGGGACTTACGGTCAACATTACCACTCGCATTTGCTGCGGCACCCATGCCTCGGTTCTGAATCTGGTACACCGGCTGTGTGGGGCGCTGCCCTTCCTTCTCCAGCTTTGCTGTAGAGGCAGATGGTGGAAGAGTGGCACCCTCTGCTGCTGGGGCTGGTTTACCCTCCTCTCTGGCCTTCATAAGGACAATAGGTTTTTCAGGTGCGGCTGGAGCTGGAGTAGGGGGTGGCTTTGGCTAAAAAAAAAAAAAAAAAAAAAAAAAAAAGACAAAACAAAAAAGCTTGGGTATAAATGAATGGTTAAACTAAACTATACTTAAAATGAGAAGAGAAATGTAAACATAGCAAAGATTACATTATACAACATATATAAAGCATCAAGCCCCTCATAGCTAAAGTCAATGTTAGCAGACACTGGAGTTAAAGTTTATGTATAGTCAAAACTTTTTTTTTTCTTAGACTGGGATAGAATACAGATAGGATAACACCTCTGCTGATTATGTTCACTGTTCAGGAAATGCAAAGGAAGTGAGAAGAAATCTACCCAAAATGAGAAGTATTCCTCTTCTTAGACAGTTGACCTTTAACAGGTGTCCCTTTTGGAAGCTAAGGACCCTATATACACAGTTTTTTTTTTTTTTTTTTTACAGCAGTTTGAACAAAAAAAAAAAAAAAAAAAAAAAAAAAAAACACACACACAGCTTGTTTTCCTCTGGCAAAATTGGCCAAAAAAGAGATTTAACTGACTCTGAAAAGTAAAAAATTGTAAAAAGCCTCTCAGAGGGATGCAGCACTATTGAAATTGCTAAGATATTGGGGCGTTATCACAGAACCAAACGTTTTGTTGCAAATAGTCAACAACGTCGCATGAAATGTGTTGAGGAAAAAAAAGACGCAAATTAAGTGCCAAAGATTTGAGAAGAATCAAACTTGAAGCTAGCAGAGACATGGCCAAGGTAAGGAAGGCTGAAACCTTACCACCACTGAACAAGACACATACAGTCGGGTCCATAAATATTGGGACATCGACACAATTCTAACATTTTTGGCTCTATACACCACCACAATGGATTTGAAATGAAACGAACAAGATGTTTAATTCCTACACCGTTCACCTGATTTGGATGCAAATACCCTCAAATTAAAGCTGACAGTCTGCAGTTAAAGCACATCTTGTTCGTTTCATTTCAAATCCATTGTGGTGGTGTACAGAGCCAAAAATGTTAGAATTGTGTCGATGTCCCAATATTTATGGACCTGACTGTAGGTTGAAACTTCAAGACTGGGCCAAGAAATATCTGAAGACAGATTTGTCAAAGGTTTATGGACTGATGAGATGAGAATGACTCTTGACAAACCAGATGGAAGGATCTGTGGCTGGATCAGTACAGGCACAGAGCTCCACTTCGACTCCAGACACCAGCAAGGTGGAGGTGGGGTTATGGTATTATTACTGTAATGGTAGTGGTGGTCAGGTTTCAGCCATCCTTACCTTGGTCACGTCTCTGAGCACTGAACACCTTGTACTTCTGGGCACTCCTGGTAGGATGCAGTTCTGGAATATGACAGCACTGGAGGATAATGGGTTCCTAGTAGCTTCATGTTTGATTCTTCTCATATCTTTGGCAGTTAATATGCGCCTTTTTTTCCCCAACACATTGATTGTGCCCTGTTGACTATTTGCAATAAAACATTTGATGGTTCTGTGATCACGGCTCAATATCTTCAATTTCAATAGTGCTGCACCCTATGAAAGACTGTTTACAAAGACTTTTCAGAGTCAGTTAAATCTCTTTTTTTGGCCCATTTTGCCTGAGGAAAAGAAGATGCCTAATAATTATGCACACCATGATATAGGGTGTTGATGTCCTTAGACCACCCCCTCCCTCATTACACAAATACACATCACCTGGTATGGTTAAATCCAATAAGCATTCAAGTTTATACAGCTTGGAGTTGGACAATGTGCATAAAAATTATGATTTGGTCAAAAACACCCACTTGCCTAACAATTGTGCCCACAGTGTACACACCGCAGCAGCTTATCGAATGTTGGTTTTCCTGCAGGACCATTCGACAGAAGCCAGTCTAACAATCGGCTTCTGTTGAACATACAGGAGTGCATATGGATTGAAATTTGGTCAGTTCCTCTTAAATTTTGGTACATGTATATCCAGCTTTACTTTCACATTCTGTTCTAGTGGCAACTCTCAAATTTAAAGATTTACCCTCACTTTCTATTTGGGAACAACAGTTACTAGAAGAAACAGAGAAAAATGGTCTAATCCTTCACCCTTTTGCCATTATATGAACATTGACCCTTAAGGAGGACCTTCCATGGCAAATGGAAGGTCTACCTATTTGCCAGCATTCTTTTCTGCCCCCCATCCCAACACAAATGACTTTGAAAACAAACTGTTCACCAGAAACAATAAAAAATAAATAAATAAAAATACTTACCTTGGCCCTTGCCTCTGAAACTTCCTGGAGGCATGGTACATGGTAATAGGGTTGTAAACTCAAAAACCTAGAGACTGCATTCCTGCAATGGCCTGGGGTTGATTTTCCCAAGATTTTAACCACCCATGATGTCATAGGATGTGGCTGAAGTTTAATTTATTTTTAACTAATGGATTTTTTTAAAGTCATTTATGTCAGGTGGCAGAAGGCTAGCAAAAAAGTGGATGTTCCAATTGTCATGGAAGGTTGGCTTTAATGAGCCCCAATCTCTCTCCTCAGCATCACAGTGCAGAACCACCTTCCTTAGGTCCCATCATCATTAATCTTATAATGGCCACCCCAGTGGCCAAAAGGAACTTGTGGGGGATGAGAGGGGACTGCACCTTCAAAAACTAAAAGAAAGTGCAAATGCTTGGCCTGACCAGAAAGGCTCAGAATTTAAATGAAGCAGGAGACTGAAAGCAGCTGCAAATATATGTATAATATATAATATATATATATATATATATATATATATATATATATATATATATAGTGATATAGTGACATTATGAAAGGCAAGGTGATTGATGGATGCCATGTGTCACCTCGCATGCGTTCATATCTATGAGACTAAGGTGGAGTCCAGTCCGGGTTTCCCAGGCCACTTTGGCAGAGTTGGTTCCGGACAGATTTTGCAGTCCACTGATGACCACCAGTAGGTGGTATACATAAAGCAGGACTGGAGCAAGAAGTTGCTCTTGGCTTGGGACTCAGGAAACCATACCTGAGAGAGTTGTGGCTGAAAGAGTTTGCTTTGTACAAGAAAGGAAAAGGTTTGCACACCGTTTTGTTCTGTTGGTGACAGGAGGAAGCCCTTCACCTGTGAGATAGGAATCCCTTCTGTTTAGTTAGTGCATGGATGGTGAGGGTTTATTTTCTGTTCTGTTTTGTTTATGATGAATGCAACCTTTTAAATAAAACTGGCTACAAGTCAGATTTTTAAGAAAGACCTGCCATCTGGATTACCTTTTCCCTGGGAAGGTGATCCCCCACAAAATTATACATATATTATACCCGTCGGCAGTTTTTGTTTTTTTGCTAAAAATGATGAGTTACTTTAAGACTAAGATCTCCTAAATAAAAAGGGCCAGATTTGGTTAATTGCTCTAACCCCATCTACTTGGTAGGTTTACCATATTTCTTGATATTTCAATAGCTACAAAAGGGAAGAATCTACAAATCTGTTAAATTGATAAAATGGCATCAATTTCAAAAGCGAGCATGTAAGACAATCCCGCAATTCCTTTCAAGTAAACTGAAAAAAATTAAAGCTGACCAGTTGTAAAATCTCCTTTTATTTCAAAATGTTTTTATTGAAGATTTTCAATAACAGGGTAATGTTATAATAACGTTCAGTTCAATAAAAATCGTATTCAAACAATATATTGTTGGAGCATGTGTACCCCACCATTTCGCTGGGGACAAGGAAAAAGACAATAGTAACATATGTAGATATGGATATATACTGAACTTTGGTGAGGTGTAGAGAATGGTAGAGGGATATAAACATGGGGAGAACAGGATACAATCTCCTTTTGATTTATCAACTGTGCTGTGTGAGGGCCTGTCTTATTGCATAAAAACTAAATGAATTGTTCAGGTTGATTCCAGAACTGCATTGTTGTTGGTAGAAATTAAGAAAGTTGTACAATCAAATTGTAAGGTTGTGTGCACACCATTATTCTTAATACTCTAAGGCAGGACACAGATTATGCAAATTTCTTTCCTTCCAACAGTGGAAGGGAAAAAAAATTGCTGGATTTCCCCATCAACACAGTCATTATTGATGGAGAAATCTCTCCTGCGGTGCTATTGTATTCTGCTGGTAGGGAGTCTCCCCTGCTGGCAGAACACAAATGGATCACTGCTAGTGGCTTAAATCGCCGGCTGTGATCACATGTAAAAAAATTTGACAGGCTGGTTGCACTCAAGTCGATCGATGGATCGACTTCAGTATAACCAGTCTGCCTACAGAGAAATCAAATTTTGTCTGGTCCCTGCTGAACCAGCAGAGATTTCATCCATTGATAGCCATCTTAAGTTTCCTGTTAATATGTTATGGATTTTGTAATAATAAAAGAAGCGGCATACATTTGGTGGTAGAGAAGAGCAGTAATAGAATACAGTAGGAGGGCAAAGTAACTTACGCGCTCAGCTGCCGGTTTGGCCAAGATGATCGGAGTCTTCTGCATGGTGTAGCCAGAATTCTCTTCATTTCCATCCTGAGCATTATAAAGCACAGAACAGTCAATATACAGTTAGGTCCATATATATTTGGACACAGGCACAATTTTAGATTTTTTCAGGTATTTAAAAAAACATATTCAAGCTATATAGTTCTATAATGGATATAGGCTGAAAGTGCACACTCTCAGGTTTAATTTGAGGGTATGTACATCCATATTGGAGGAAGGGTTTAGGAATTACAGCTCTTAAGAGTTGCCATCCCCTCTTTTTCAAGGGACCAAAAGTAATTGGACAATTGAATCAAAAGCAGTTTCATGGCCAGGTGTGGGCTACTCCTTTGTTATGTCTTCATCAATTAAGCAGGTAAAAGGTCTGGAGTTTATTTTAAGTGTGATATTTGCATTTGGAATCTATTGCTGTGAACCTTCATCATGCGTTCAAAAGAGCTGTCCATGCAAGTGAAACAGGCCATTGTAAGGCTTCAAAAATGAAACAAATCCATCAGAGAGATAGCAGCAACATTAGGAGTGGCCAAATCAACAGTTTGGAGCATTCTGAGGAAAGAAGAATGCACTGGTGAGCTCAGCAACATAAAAAAGGCATAGACATCCACAAAAGACAACAATGATGGATGATCGCAGGATCCTCTCTATGGTAAAGAAAAGCCCATTCACAACATCCAGACAAGTGAAGGACACTCCAGGAAGTGAGCGTATCATTGTCAAAGTCTAAAATCAAGAGAAGACTTTACAAGAGCAAATACAGAGGGTTCACCACAAGGTGCAATCCATTCATAAGCCCGATTAGACTTTGCCAAAAAACATCTAAAAAAGCCAGACCAGTTCTGGAAAAGCATTCTTTGGATGGATGAAACTAAGAATAATCTGTACCAGAATGACGGGAAGAAAAAAAGTGTGGAGAAGGTTTGGAACAGCTCATGCTCCACAGCACACAACATCATCTGTAAAACATGGTGGGGGCAGTGTGATGGCATGGACATGCATGGCTTCCAGTAGCACTGGGTCATTGGTGTTTATTGATGATGTGACAGAAGCAGCCAGATGAATTCTGCAGTGTTTAGAGATATTCTGTCATCCCAGATTCAGCAAAATACAGCAAAGTTGATTGTACGGCGCTTCACAGTACAGATGGACAATGATCCAAAAACACACTGCAAAAGCAACCCAGGAGCTTTTGAAGGAAAAGGAGAAAAATTTGTACTTGATATTTATGTTCAACCCCTTGACTTAAAGCTGAAAGTCTGAACTTCAAATTCAATTGGATTGTTTCATTTTAATTTATTCTGGTGGTATACAGAGCCAAAAGTATGAAAATTGTGCCTGTGTCCAAATATATATGGCCCTAACTGTATCAATATAAAAAAATAAAATACAAAACTGAACTTAAGACACAACCTACTGGTACAGAAGCAGCGTAGACAAAAATTGATACATTTAACAAAACAACTATGGTGACCTCAGCAGTCCTAAAAGGAACCTCAACATCATTTTAACCACTTGTCCTCCTGAGGATTTACCCCCCTTCCTGACCAGGACATTTTTTTGCGTTATGGCACTGCGGTACTTTAACGGACAATTGCCATCCAAAGCAGTGTGCACGAGCTGTCAGGGAGGAGAACTGTATTGTTCACATACAGTTCTCCTTCCTGTCTGAGATGCTTGGCAATCACCGGGCGCCGGCAAGTAATCACCAGCCGGGACCCGGTGATTGGTAGCACGGGTAGGGGGTTCGCGAGCGCACCCTACCCAGAAATGCAAAATCATGTATATATACATAATTTTCCGCAGCCATGCCACCCTGTAGCAGTATATCTGCTATAGGGCGGTCAGGAAGTGGTTAAACTTTTAAAAGGCTTCTTTTGTGCTTCTCTCCCCAGAGGATCTCTTATTTGAACACAGTTATAGCAGTTGGTAGCTCTTGCCTATGAAGTCAGGGGACGCTGGCAGGTATCTCGAGGTGTCTTCCTTTAGGGAAAACCTTAGTTTAAAATAGACTACAGGTTCTCTTTAACCGCCTCCTGCCAGCCATATAAGGTAATGACGGGAGCGTGGCGGTTTTCTGGTTCTGGGAGGACATCATATGACATCCTCCCACTCTAACTTCACGTGGGCACCCTCAGGTGGCACGCAGCGATCAGCGGTGTGCTGAGTCCCTGGGATACAGCAGATCACCGATCACTGTAAAGAGCCGATGACATCAGCTCTGTCATGTGATCAGCTGTGTCCAATCACAGCTGATCACATGTAAATAGGAAAACCCGGTTATCGGCAGTCCTCTTCTCCCACTGACAGCTCATGAGGAGATCCGGTAATGGCATTACTCAGAGCGGACATCTACACATATCAGTGCCTAACAGTGCACATAAATGCCACGTATCAGTGCCCACAAGTGATGCCTGTCCATGCCCTTCAGTGCCGCCTCATTAGTGCACATCAGTGAAGGAGTAAAATGTTTTATTTACAAAATTTTATAACAGAAACTAAGAAAAACTTACTTTTTAAAAATTTTCAGTCTTTTTTTAGTTTGTTTAGCAAAAAATAAAAAGTGGTGATTAAATACCACCAAAAGATAGCACTATCTGTCTCAAAAAAATGACAAAACGTTTGTTTGGATACAGTGTTCCATGACCGCGCAATTGTCATTCAAAGTGCGACAGCACTGAAAAGTGAAAATTGGCCTGGGCAGGAAGGGGGTAAAAGTGGTTAAAGGATACGTCTGCTCAAAAAAAAAAAAAAAAAGTAAATTTTTTGCAGGTAAAAAATGTGCAATTATTATTATTATTATTTTTTTGGAGCCTGTAAAGCATCTGAAACCAGTGATCAGCAGATTGCTGCTGCCATGCAGGTCTCCAGCAGACGTTTGGTTTAATCTGTATGCTCGTACAAGCAGACGGTTTAACGCCGACAGGAAGACTGAAATAAATACCACAGCGCTCCACAGCCAACTTCTGCAAAGGATGTTGGTACTTTTTAAATGAATGATGCAGCCATGTGTGTGGAGCCCCGCATGGCTTCGCTGATTTAAAAAACTGGCAAATGGTACGGTGGGGGGGGGGGGGGGGGTACTTGATGGGTGGATGTCAGTCTGGAGGAATGGGAGTACCCAGCAGACTATATTTGCATGCACACTGCCACAGGTAATGCCCACACATGTTGCTGAGCCTCCATGATTGACAGAACTGAAATTTAATGGAATGAAAGGGGTGGGCTATGGAGAGAGTCAGTCTGGGGAGGAAAGGACTAGATGATGCTGGAAATCCACCATCCAGGAAGTAAGACAGGCTTAGACTTGTTGAATTGTTTAAGCTTCTAATGCACATTGTGAGAAGCTCACAGTATGCAGTGAAATTTGAGTAAGCAATTTCAGTCTAGGAGAGGAGTCGGTACAACTGTACAAGACTGAAGTAAGACTGTGTAAGACTGCAAAAAGTCAGATTTAAAGGTTTCTAGGCTGTAAAGACAATTTTTTTGTTAGAAAAATCCCTAGCTGTATCTATAATAAATGTCACTGTCAACAGCTTTCACTGTTCATTCTAATCTAACCTGATGAAACTCTGATTGGTTGTTATGTGCTGGTGCATTTTACATATTTGTTTTATATTTAGATTGTAAGCTCCATGAGCAGGTCCCTCCTATTTCTTCTGTATTGAAATGTATTGTAATTGTACTGTCTCCCTTTATATTGTAAAGCGCTGCACAAACTGTTGGCGCTATATAAATCCTGTATTATAATATTTGTTGCGCCATCTGTGATGCCATATGGTTTTAACAGAAGCATAACCCTCCCGTGCTCACCCATCTGTCCTGATCGCGATCACGTAGCATGGGGTCTCTTTCACGCGGAGGTTCAGACAGGTTAAGGTTGCCAGAGGGACCCTGGTCCATCCAACGGCGTCTCCTGCTGCGCCCGGGAATGTACATACTGGGTTGGCTGTGCCCAGACTCCGCCATGATTCCGTTCTATTGAAGAAAATTAGACTTCAATTAAACATCAAGCAACAGATAAAATCAAAGATTGAGCAATGTAATCTAGAGAACACTGCAACTGCACTAAAGTCAAAAAGATCACATAAAGAGAACCGGTTACATATTACTTTGTAAACCCTTACATAGACCCAGTGAAGTGACTGGCCTCAGGTGATACAGAGATGAAACAAATCCTTCTACATAAGTTGTATCTGTTTATCTGCAGCCCTTTGTTCTCTACAGCTGTTCAAAGTCCAGAATTTACACAGCATTCCTTCACTGTTTGCAACATCTGTATCTTTTAGAAGGCAATATCCAGCACCACTGTATGGCTGTGTACCCTTTCATGTATGGGCCCCAAGTGCAAACATCACAAGATGCCTGCTAGTTCCTTTATTAGCCAGGAAATCTTTGAATAGGGACACTAGTACAACCAGGGATTCCCTCCTTGTGCCCCTCTGTAATGGTTTCACTTTGCTGCCAAGGGTTTGGCTTCCTGGCTTTTGAATACATCCCTACTGATCCCCATTTATGGACAGCGTCACAATATATGGGAAAGCCTGATGAGTCTGATGGGAGAGGCGCAGTGTAGTTCAGCAGGGTTGGATCTGGATAAAGTCATAGCTATGGCTACGTAACGCATATGCGCAGCAGCAAGGGTGGTGGGCCTTAATGTCCACACATATGCATCCATGGGCAGTTGGGGTTTTTGTGCTAACACAGCACACCCACTGCATGCTCCTATCACAGCAATCAAGCTATCACCAACAGCTCGCCTCTAGTTATGATTGGGAGTTGTCTGGATAGTCAATCACAGTGGTCATGTGGTTGGTGAGTCACCTCCCTACCTTCTTCCCCACCATAAGACCCAAGTACCCAAGGGCTGTGGTGGGCAGGAAGCAGGAGTGAAAGAGGAACTCTACCCCTATAATATCTAGCAATACACTCCAAACTGGGCATATGAAGCTTGCCCCCAAGGCTCTGTTCTATCAGCAGATGGATTGGGGACAGTAGAAGGGGATGATCAGAGAAGACAGGATGAAACAGCCGTTTTACACAATGCAGAGGAATAATCCCTTAGATTCCATAGTGAGTATAACAAGCATGCTTTATTACATATACAGACTGATTTTACTGTTGTTGGTTTAGTAACCCTTTGAAAAATTAAAAATAAAATTTCATCAAAATTGTTAAAGAATTATTATTAATTAAAATTGTAAATAAACCCTCCCTTGAAAAAAAAAGTCTTGCCTTTCGTTCTACTTTATAGTGGTTATAAAGGCTGAAGGTTTTTTTTTTTAACTTTCATGCATTCAAAGCATCAAAGTAAAAGACCTTCTGTGTGCAGCTCCCCTGCATCCCCCATCCAAATACTCACCTAAACCCCCTCTTGATCCAGAGATGTGCACGAGAGCCTTGGCTGTGTCGGGTCTCTCTCTTCACACTGGCGGAGACACAGCAGCAGGAGCCATTGGCTCTCACTGCTGTCAATCACAGCCAGTGAGCAAATGAGGAGAGAGTGGGTGCGTGGCCAAGCCGTGGCTCTGTGTCTTATGGAGCTTGGGAGTGAGCACACACTAGTGCCCTCATAGCCAGCGGCTTACTATTAGTTGCACTGGTCAAAGGGGAAGGGCCAGGAGTGCCAGCAGGGGACTTGAGAAGAAGAGGAAAGGGGCTGCTCTGTGCAAAACCATTACACAGAGCAAGTAACTATGATATGATTATAGAAAAAAAAAAAACAACCTTTAATATCACTTTAAATATCCTACGTATGCACAGATGTGCAGCAGGTCTCTTCTAGGTATTGGAGACCTGCCACAGATTTGCAACAAATCCAGAAGCAGAATCTTGCAGCACATGAGCGCTCCTGAATAATGGGCAAAGCTGGAGACAGGTTCTCTTTACAGCCTCTTCCAGGTCCTGAGAATAATGTCATTTGGATATAATGGAACCTTAAGAGTTATTCCAAGTCACAGCAAGCAAGCAAGCCAGTTCCCCCCCCAAGGAGGGCAAATAATCCTCCCCCTGTGATGGATGACACCACACTCACCAACTATCTGCTCTTCTCCCTTTCTGCTTCCACTTCGGTCCGGAAACCATATCAGTCCCTTCTCAAACAGGAGACAGACTACACAAAACGTTCCGGGGGAGAACAGTTCCGCAGTATGTAGGTCCCTCCCAAACCCAAACAAATGAAAACAGATGTTCCACAAAACGTTCCGGGGGAGAATAGTTCCCAGTATATACGTCCCTTCCCAAACAGGAAACAGAGATTCCACAAAACGTTCGGGGGAGAATAGTTCCCAGTATATACGTCCCTTCCCAAACAGGAAACAGAGATTCCACAAAACGTTCCGGGGGAAGAATAGTTCCCCAGTATATACGTCCCTTCCCAAACAAGAAACAGAGATTCCACAAAACGTTCCGGGGAAGAATAGTTCCCCAGTATATACGTCCCTTCCCAAACAGGAAACAGAGATTCCACAAAACTTTCCGGGGAAGAATAGTTCCCCAGTATATACGTCCCTTCCCAAACAGAAAACAGACTGCACAAAACGTTCCGGAGGAGAATTGGTTCCCCAGCAGCCTGGAGCTCGGCGGTGCTTGCCATGGCAACGCAGTTACAGGGCATCCCCTCGGACACAATCTGCCAGGCTGATCAGTGTACAGAGGGCCATCCTCCTCTGTTCTTAGCTGACCACAATCAGGGTCTTGAGTTACAGAGCAGCTCATCTGCTGCCACCAAAACTGACCACACACACAGTACAATCTGGTTGTAATTTTTTTTTTAAGGATTACCAAAACGATGTAATATGAGGGGAGACCTAAACATCATCAATTCAGCCCATTGCATTACTTAACTGTTGGTAGGTCTAAAGGGGATCCTAAAATCAGATTGTATAGTAGTGTATGGTCAGCCTTATGGTGTGTTTATGCGCTTTAATAAACGTTTGATTTCTGATCAATCTCTCCGATAGGAATAATCAATAAACATGGAGATCCTGCCGTCAGAGTTCAGGCACTTCCTGTTATAGGGTGACCACTGTGCTCCGATGTTGTCACCCTGTCCAATGGTGACCCCACAAGACGCTTACACAGGCTTTGTCTACTGTTGTCACTACCAGGAGTCTCGCCCTGAGAAATGCCATTCTGCCATCACTGGAATGTATGTAGATGAGAACCTGTACCTCTTGCATACTGCAGATTGAAAAAGCTCAGTACAGCATTTTTTTTTTTTTACAGAGGTAAAATGTAGTCCATTATTTACAATGTGCCTTTGCACACAGGCAAACAGAAAAGCACCGTTTATTTTTCACCGCGTGCTGCATTCAGGTATGAGCATAAATGTTTATTAATTTTCTGTAAGAATAGATTATGCGCACAAATACACGCAAATACATGCAAAACAAAAGCCTGAAATTACATCCAAAAAAGAAGATGCTCAAACATCTGTACCGTGTGCAAGAGGCCTTATAGGCAGAGAAATATGCCCTTATTTTATCGCTTGTTTGTCACACACAACAAAATGTGCGTTTCCTAGACATATTTGGCATGCCAAAAACAATTCAATAATCCACATTTTTTCACATATTCTAGAAATGCGAGCTGAATTACGCGTTTTCATATGTGCTCCCAGAACACACAGGTATGAATGGGACCTAATAAAGGACAAATCTTCCAATGGGGACACTAGTTCTGGTGACAACCAAGAATTTATTTTTTTGTGCTTCCAGAATGTGTGCAGAAATGCACCAACAGGAGCTCCTGCACCTGCTCAGGCGGTGAGCTTTGCGAGTTTTTGTTTTGTGACAAATCGCTCATTTCCTAGCCATGTTTGGGAAACCATTCTTTTTTAGTGAAATGCACATTTTTTGAGTGTTGCAGAAATGCGATCAGAAACACGTTTCATTGCACGCTACCGGAATGCAAAGGTGTAAATGGGACCTAATAGAGGGGAAATCTTCCAATGGGGACACCAGTTCTGGTGACAACCAGGGATTCTTTCTCTTTGAAGGAATTAATGGCAGCACAAGTGCGACCAGGTTTTTCGCGTGAATTTGCTCAGAAACGTACCAAAAGAAGCTCCCACGCCTTTTTAAGTGGTGAGCTTTGCGCATTTGTCGTGGGACAAAACGGTAGTTTCCTAGCCATGTTTGGAGTGGGCAGGGATTCTCTCGTTTGGAAGGAATGAATGGCACCACAAGTGCGACAAGTTTTCCGTTTGTTCCCAGAATGTGCACAGAAATGTGCCAAAAAATGCTCCCACATCTTTTTGGGTGGTGAGATTTGAACATGTAGCAGCACCCTCCTAATTTAGCTAGGGGGAGCTAGACTCTAATGGTTAGACAGAATATGAATAGTAGCTCAGGTGTAATAGCCAGAGGGATCAAATTGTGGTCAGCCCTTCTGGGATTTCCCCCTGCATTAGGGCTTTAAGAGGAAGACCTTGGAGGCAGAGGGTGGATCTGAGGAGTGGCTGGCTGCACTCTTGAGGGGTCCTAGCCAATCCACAACAAAAGGTTGGCAAGGGGCTGGACACCCTTAAAAGTCTTAGTCTGTTCAGTGGCAGGAGTGTGGAAGGAGTGAGGAAGATGTGCGGCTGAGAGCAGGAGGCTGTAAGGAGGCCTAGTGGGATAGGGCCTACCTGCAGGCCTGGAGCTGGAAAGAAGGAAAACCATGAGAGAGGACCGCCTGTATGGCAGAGAAGGAGCAGCTGAGCTGATAGGACAAGTAGCAGTAGCCAACCCACAAGCAGTACAGGAGAAGATCAGAGGGAGTACACCAGCACCCCCTGGGTGGATAGGTGAAGGAGCACTCTGATGGGAAACCAGATTAGCCCCCTACTAGGGACTGTTCACTGATCTAAAGTGACAGGAACCGCATCCCCTGTTCAGGGACACCTCCAGATTGCTGGGTGAAGAGGAGAAGTTCATCTAGGGTCTGGGGTGGTACATTGTACAGCCGTTGGCTAGCTCTCTAACAGAGACTCAGCTGCAGAAGAGAAGTTTGTGAATAGTTCCAGGAAGTGTGTTCTCAGTTATCGGTTCCCTTGGGCATCCTATACCCCCCTAATCCTATCCCAGTTTAAATCCCCTAAATTAACAAAGCAAAAGCTCAAGGACTGATTTCTGACTGGTAAACTAGACCATTATCCCCTAACGGGAACACAGACAGCAATAAAAACTGCCAATCATTCTATAATTTATACATTTTATACTGCAATCCAGAAATGCGAGCAGAAACATGTTTCTTTGTGCGCTCCTGTACCAGCTTAGTCCACTACCTGAGATGAAACTCTAATAGGATAAAAATAGATATTTTTTCACCTGAGGAAGAGGGGAGCTCCCCTCGAAACACGTCAGTCATCTGGAGGGTCCTTTTGCGTTAGCCATCTGGAGGGTCTTGTGTTTTGGGAGTTGACTTGGTGTCTAGGTCGCTTTGGACTTTTGATAATCTATTGATATCACAATTGTTTGTGAGTATATATCTATTTTTATACTATTAAGGTTTCATCTCCGGTAAACACACTAGGATGGTGCTCCCTTCTTCCCTTATTTTACAGTGATTCTCCTGGGTTTCCCCGACCCTTAGAGGGCAGCAAAGCCTGGGTCGGCATATGGAGCGCTAAGGACCTGACATTCATCCATCATCAGTACACCACTCTTGAGCGCAGGGGATTCTTTGGTCTTTCTATTGCACAATGGGACCCAATAGAGGGAAAATCTTTCAATGAGGACACTAGTTCTGGTGACAATCAAGGATTCCCTCACTCTGATGGAATTAATGGCCCCACAAGTGTGATGCAGGTTTTTCACAGGAATGTGCGCAAAATCATGCCATAAGAAGCACCCAAACCTTTTTGGGTGGTGAGCTTCAGCGACTTTTTTACCTGTTCGTTTGTTGCTCGACAAAATGTGCATTTTCTAGCCATATTTGGGGGCCACTACCAGTTAATAGCACCTCCAAGGGCAATGCACATTTTTTGCTCATTCCAGAAATGCGAGCAGAAACCCACGTGCATGAACGTGCAGGGGTGAATGGGGCCAAATAGAGGGGAAATCTTCCAATGGGGACATTAATTCTAGTGACAACCAGTGATTATCTTACTTCAGAAGGATTTCCTCTCACTTCCTGTTTTGGCCATGGGATAGGAAGTAAAGGAAAATCTGCTCAATGGGGACACAGATGGCAAAAAAAAAAAATAATAATTTGACAAGGGTTATAACCATTTTTTTCTCTATCCAAAATGAAAAAAAGTTTTGCCTTAAGTTCTGCTTTAAACTTTGAAGACAAATTCCTTGGTCAATAAAGCTGATTTTAGATTTTAACATTTTAAAATAAAATAAAACGCAATTCATTTTTTTTCTTTTTTAATTATTTTTAAAAATGTAAAATTGTGATTTTAGAGATTTAAGAACTCATTCTCTATAACAACTAGGAGTGTTATGTAAATAAATAAAAGAAATAGGAAAACATTTTATAAACACGTGTCCTCTATTTATTTACAGTATAAATCTGCTGATTTGTTTTTATGTAGGACCCTGTGATGGGTGTGAATTTTCTGAAGGGAGAAGCCAGGCTAGCAGTGAACGGGTTAAAAGAAGTCTCTGTACAGCCCTGCCTGCTGTCCCTGGTGCATTATGGGTAATGTAGTTCTGGGACTACACCTCCACCCAGCATGCTCTGCAGAGTGTTTCCAGGTTGTGCCTGCAATCTCCCCTTCGTTGCGTTAGGTAAGTGGCCATAGGGGAGAGGTGGGGTTTGGGGGTTGCATTTGATTGGTCATTGGGGGGGTGTCATGAGGTTGTTGGGGTGATTTGCAGTCCAATATGGGGAGGGTAAGTCACAGGATCACTGTATGTAGAGATGAGACCACCTCTGACATCCAGGGACAGTCCATCTTCTGTCCCTACAGATGTCAGTGAATTGGGAATCTCCTACCACCTCTGATGTCTTATTTCCTGTGACACTAAAAAAGAAAAAAAAAAACACCTAGGTGTCTGCTTTTGTAGAACTACAAGTCCCAGCATGCCTGTCAAACAGAGGTGGTGGTGCCCTGTATGCAGTCTTTGCAATATAGCAGAAGTGTACAATCTATGGCTTCTGCTTTTGTAGAACTACAAGCCCCAGCGTGCCTGTCAGTCAAAGGTGGTGGAAATTTACATGCAAGCTTTGTAATAAATATAGCTTGTGTGGTACACAGAATCCGGGGCTTCTGCTTTTATAGAACTATAAGTCACAGCACGCATGTCAGACAGAGGTGGTGGTGGTTTGCATGCAAACTTTGTAATAAAGCATGTATGCATTATCTTTGCCTTCTGATTTTGTGGGACTACAAGTGCCAGCATGGATAACAGTGCTATGCAACATCTATACATACTGTGTGTTTATTTTAATTTTATTACAAGTAGTTATATAGCACTTAAGCAGTGCTTTACATAAATATAGTATATTATACATTCACATCAGTCCCTTCCCTCAAGGAGCTTACAATCTAAGGTCCCTAACTCAAATTCATACCTGCTAGGGCCAGTTAACCTACCATGATGTCTTTGGAGTGTTGCTGGAAACCGCAGTACCTGGAGGAAACCTATGCAGGCACAGGGAGAACATGGAAACTCCAGGCATGTAGTGCCGTGGTTGGCATTTGAACTGATTACCCTAGTGCTGCTAGGCAGAAGGGCTAACCACTTGGCTTCTGTGCAGCTTATTATAAAAATAATAAGCATGTGTGCACAAAGATTGGGCAGCACGGTGGCTAAATGGTTAGCACTTCCGCCTGGCAGTACTAGGGTTGTTGGTTCAAATCCTAGCCACGGCACCTCCTGCCTGGAGTTTGCATGTTCTCCCTGTGTCTCCGTGGGTTTCCTCCGGGAGCTCCGGTTTCCTCCGACCCTCCAAAGACATGCTGCTAGGTTAATTGGCTCCTGTCTAAATTATCCCTAGTATGTATGTATGAATGTAAGTTAGGGACCTTAGACTGTACGCCCCTTGAGGGTTAGGGACTGATGTGAATATACAATATATATGTAAAAGCGCTGCATAAATTGATGGCGCTATATAAGTGAAATAAATAAATAAAGATTGCATGCCAAGCATTACTTTCTTCAGATAGGCACACTGGGACTTGTAGTTCCACAAAAGCAGAAGCCATACAGTTTGCATACATGCTATACTATTAAAAAGGCTGCATGCAAACCACCACCACCTTCTCCATCTGACTGGTCCATTGGGACTTGTGTGCATAATCTTTGCTTTCTGCTTTTGTAGAACCAACGGACTCATGGGCGGACTGACCATTTGGAAACTCGGGCACTGCCCGAGGGCCCGGGTCAGTAGGGGGCCCCATTAGATGCCCCTGGTACCTTTTTCATAGGCTTTTTTTTAGTTTTGGCAAGAACACAGGGGCCCCATGATCCCCCATTGCCCGGGGGCCCCATGAGTTGTCAGTCCGCCCCTGAGCGGACCTGTCAGAGGAGGTGGTTTGCATGCAAAAAGTATTGGGACAGTCCTCCAAATCATTGCATTCAGGTGTTCCAATCATCTCCATGGCCACAGGTGTATAAAATCAAGCACCTAGGCATGCAGATTGCTTCTACAAACATTTGTGAAAGAATGGGTCGCTGTCAGGAGCTCAGTGAATTCGAGCGTGGTACCGTGATAGGTTGCCACCTGTGCAATAAGTCCATCTGTGAAATTTCCTTGTTACTAAATATTCCACGATCAACTGTTAATGGTATTATAACAAAGTGGAAGCAACTGGGAAGAACAGCAACTCAGCCACAAAGTGGTAGGCCAAGTAAAACGACAGAGCGGGGTCAGCGCATGTTGAAGTGTGCAGAAGTCACCAACTGTCAATAGCTAAAGACCTCCAAACGTTGTGTGGCCTTCAGTTTAGCACAACAACAGTGTGTAGAGAGCTCCATGGAATGGGTTTCCATGGCTGAGCAGCTGCATCCAAGCCTTACATCACCAAGTGCAATGCAAAGTGTCGGATGCAGTGGTGTAAAGCACACCGCCACTGGACTCTAGAGCAGTAGAGACGTGTTCTCCAGAGTGACCAATCACACATCTCCATCTGGCAATCCAATGGATGCGTCTGGGTTTGGCGGTTGCCAGGAGGATGGTACTTGTCTGACTGCATTGTTGCAAGTGTAAAGTTTGGTGGAGAGGGGATCATGGTGTGGGGTTTGTTTTGCAGGGGTGGGCTTGGCCCCTTAGTTCCAGTGAAGGGAACTCTTAAGGCGTCAGCATACCAAGATATTTCGGACAAATTTCATGCTCCCAACTTTGTGGGAACAGTTTGGGAATGGCCCCTTCCTGTTCCCAACATGACTGCGCACCAGTGCACAAAGCAAGGTCCATAAAGACATGGATGAGCGAGTTTGGGGTAGAGGAACATGACTGGCCTGCACAGAGTCCTGACCTCAACCCGATGGAACACCTTTGGGATTATTATTATTTATACAGGATTTATATAGCGCCAACAGTTTGCGCAGCGCTTTACAATATAAGGGAGACAGTACAATTACAGTACATTTCAGTACAGAAGGAATATGAGGGCCCTGCTCGTGGAGCTTACAATCTAAAAGAAGGGGGAGATGATACAAAAGGTGATAGCTGCGGGGATGATCTGGCGGAGGTGAATCAAGTACAGTTCTTAGGTGGAGGTGGGGTAGGCTTCCCTGAAGAAGTGAGTTTTCAAAGATCGCCTAAAGGCAGACAGGGTTGGGGCTGACCAGACATGCTGTGGAAGGGAGTTCCAGAGGATGGGGGAGGCTCTGGAGAAGTCCTGGAGGCGAGCGTGGGAGAGGAGGTGATGAGGGAGCTAGAGGGGAGGATATCATGGGAGGAGCGGAGTGGGCGATTTGGGCGGTATCTGTGGATGAGGTTGGTGATGTAGCTAGGGGCAGTGTTGTGGATGGCTTTGTAAGCTGTGGTTAGTATTTTGAATTTTATACGTTGGGTTAGTGGAAGCCAGTGGAGGGATTGGCAGAGAGGGGCAGCAGTCGCTGATGGGTTGGTAAGGTATATGAGTCTAGCAGCACCATTCATAATAGACTGAAAGGGGGATAGCCTGTGTAACGGTAGATCAGTGAGGAGGGAGTTGCAGTAATCGAGGCGGGATATAACCAAGGCATGGAGAAGTTGTTTTGTGGTATCATTGGTTAGGAAGGGGCAGATTTTGGAAATGTTCCGGAGGTTGAGGCGGCAGGAATTTTACCAGTGAGTGGATGTGGGGCCCAAAGGAGAGGTCAGAGTCTAGGATTACAGCTAGCACCCTGGCATGAGGGGAAGGACCAATGGTAGTGCTGTTGATCTTATATAATAAAAGGATAGTGAGCGCTCCTAAAGACAGCTGCTAAAAACACCAAAAGGTACCAATAAAAAACCTTTCAATATAAATAACAAGATGAAGGTGTAGCGCTAAAGAATAAATATTGATAAAAATAAAAAGTTTATGCGAATTGAATAATATTAGGCTAACATAAAACTCATGTGCATATGATATAATGAATGTCCACATATGAAGTTCACATGTAAAAAAGTATATATATATATAAAAAATATAAATCCCAGGATATAATCTGCAGCAGATTGATTTGTGACTCCACCAATAGTTAAAGTGTGCACTCACCGGAAGCACATGGATAATGCGCATGTAATATAAACCCTCAAGGTATACAGGATAATCAGGTGAACTTTTCCTTTATGGTGCAGTCATCAGGGCAAAGGAGTAGTACAAAATCTGCTGGATCCAGGAGGTCCCCTTAAGGTTGGATTAGGTGCTCAACCTGAGTATAGGGCTCCTTTTTCTCTGGTCACACTTGTATCTCTGGGGTAACCTGTAGGCTTAATCACTCCATATAGGAGCCACAAAACAGGTGCCCATAGTGTAGTAGATTCAGTGGATTTTATTGAAATGACAGTATAACCGGCAGGGTATAGTAACGTCCATATAAAGTTTACTAACCCTTAGTTAAAATGGCCCCTGGGCTTCCTCCTAGCTCCGGAGGCGGTGATGTCACATGCTGTCTGGTTCCTCCTGAGGCCTTTCGTGCAATGGCACTTCATCAGAGGGAGAACCGACAGCCGTGACTGGTTTATTGCACATATATAGAGGAAATGGCGCGTGCACACTACGCCGCTGCCATTTTGTTGGAGTTTGACACAGTGCGCATGCGCGACTCCAGATCTGCCATTTTGCCATGGATCAGATAATATATTCAATTGCTGTGAATAGGAGACTGCTGATTAGAGCAGTAAACAATCATTCTGGGTAAGGAGAACGATCATATTAGTAAAGGGAATAATGCAGCTGGTAACCAGCGCTCAAAATATGGGGGAGAGAGAGGAAGAAAATCCCCAGTTAACAAATAAAAAAATGGAAATGAGTTAATAAGACAAATACAATGAATAAGCACAGCAGGGTGTATGCACTAATAAAATGCCCTATCCATGATCTTAATGGTAAAGTCATGAGTGGGGGATCGGGGAGGAGGAAATATTACAAGCTCAGTTTTTTAAAGATTGAGTTTAAGTTAGTGATGTGACATCCATGCTGATATGTCGCTTAGTAGATTTGTGATATGTGAGGAGATTGAGGGGGGTGAGCTGGGGAGTGGAGAGATAGATCTGGGTGTCATCAGCATAGAGGTGGTATTGGAACCATAGGAGGTTATCAGTTGGCCCACGGAGGAGGTATAGAGAGAGAAAAGGAGGGGCCAAAGAACAGAACCTTGGGGTACCCCAACAGAAAGAGGAAGCGGAGTGGAGGAGGAGGAGTTGTATGTGACACTGAAAGAGCGCTGAGAAAGGTAAGGTAAGTGGAGAACCAGGAGAGAGTGGAGTCACGGAGGCCGATGGAGTGGAGTTTACTGAGGAGCGGGTGGTCGACTGTGTCAGAGGCAGCGGAAAGGTCAAGGAGTATGGAGTAATGGCCATTGGTTTTAGCAGTTAGTAGGTCATTAGTGAGTTTTAGTAGGGCAGTTTCTGTGGAATGTTGTGGGTGGAAGCCAGACTGTCGGGGATCAAGAAGGTTGTTGTCGGTGAGGCAGCAGTTCATATGGTTGTGAACAAGGCGCTTGAGAAGCTTGGAGGCAAACGGGAGCAGGGAGATGAGTCTTAAGTTATTCAAACAGGTGGGGTCCAGCGAGGGTTTTTTGAGGATGGGGGTAACCAGTGCATGTTTGATTGGGGAGGGAAAGGTGCCCATGGAGAGTGAGAGGTTGAAGATGTGGGTTAGAGAGTTTAGGATAGAGCAGGAAGGAGGCTGCAACAGTTGTGAGGGGACAGAATCCAGGGGACAGGTGGTGAAGTGGGCCTTTGAAAGGAGTTCGGTAACTTCCTTGGTGGTAACAGGGTCGAAGGAGGAGAGAGTAGAGTTTGGTGTTGGGCCTGGTATGTTGGTTAGAGGAGGAAGCTTGACACTGGAAAACTCATCACGAATTGTGTCGATCTTCTGCTTGAAGTGACTGGCAATCTCCTGTGTTCTTGGTGGGTGGAGTAAGGAATTAAGGGTAGAGAAGAGTTGACGAGGATTGGATGAGAGGGTCTTGATGAGAGTGTTATAGTAGGTTTGCTTAGCAGCGTGGAGGCTGGAGTTGTATTTGAGAAGAGCGGATTTGTAGAGGGTAAAGTTTTTCAGGGATTTATTTTTACGCCATGCTCGCTCAAGAGTGCGGCTGCATCTCTTGAGACTTCTGGTGTGATCTGTTTGCTAGGGTTGTGACAGGCGAGGCCTGGTTCTGCGCGTAGAAAGAGGAGCAAGAGCGTCCAGGGAGGATGATAGATAGTTGTTGTAGGCAGATGTGGCCAGCTCTGGGCAGCACAGGGGTGCAATTTCATCATAGAGGCACTCAGTAGCGGAGTGGAGAAGGTCGGGGCTGAGGTGACGGAGGTTTCTACAGATAACAGTTTGCATGTTGGAGCCATGGGAGGTAGGAGGCAGGGAGAGTGTGAAGCTGATAAAGTTGTGATCAGAGAGAGGAAAAGGGGTGTTAGAGAGGTTACAGGGAGTGCATAGGTGGGTGAATACAAGGTCAAGGGTGTTGCCATTGGAGAGGGTGGTGGATTGTGACCATTGTGTTAGGTTAAAAGAGGAAGTTAGGTTGAGTAGTTGAGAGGTGGCAGGGGTGAGAACATTGACTGGGATGTTAAAGTTTCGCCGAGGGTGATGGCAGGCACCTCAGAGGAGAGAAAGTATGGTAGCCATGCTGAAAAGTCATCGAGAAAGCATGAAACTGATGACAGCGATCATGAAAGCATGAAAGTAGATGACAGCAATCCTCAGACAAGTGGAGGGGCAGGAAGAACCTGGAATGTGCTTTGTGGGGAAAGAAGTCCGACTCTGCCCCCTTTTCGTCCGCTGGCTCTGGGCGAGTGAGTCCAGAGGAGGCCGCCATGGGAGAGTGCAGCTGAAGAGACAGAGTCAGAATCCTGGAGCCAGGTTTCAGTAACAGCAAGAAGGTTGAGGGAGAGGAAGAGGTCATTGATAGAGAGTTTGTTAGAGGCTGAGCGGGCATTCCAGAGGGCACATAGGAGGGAGGGGTTGGTGCGTGGAAGCAGGGGAATTGAGATGAGAGAGTGAGGGTTGTGGCTGCGGCCAGAGAGGGGAGGCTGCTGCTTTTGTGGGTTGGAGTTTGATGGTGGAGGGCCAGGGTTTGGGACAATATCTCCAGAAGTTAGTAGTAGTAGGAGGGTGAGGGAGGTGAGGTAGGAGCGAGATTTATATGAGAGCAAATGCCGCAGTGCTTTTGTAGCGTTGACATTATGTGGACCAAGAGAGAGCAGGAGATAAGTGCAGTGATATTGAGAGGGCAGGCAGGAGTGAGGGTGATATGTTTAGGTTGTGTGGTGGGGAGGAGGGGTAAACAGAGAGAGAGTTTGAGAAGAGAGGGTATTATAGCAACAGAGGGTTAGTAAAGCATGCTGGAGAGAGAAGAAATAACAAAGGAAGGCAGATGGAAAGAGGTAAGTGGGAGGAGCACGTGCAATCTACTTGAGGTGGTAATTGCAGTATAAAATGTAAGCTTGAATCCTGCCCTAGAATATGGACAACCTGTTGTCTCTGTATGTTGTAGTACTACAAGTCCCAGCATACATAGCCAGAAAGACAGGCCGCAATGTAGCCTCCGTTTTGCCAGTACAATACAGGTGCTCTGGTTCTTTTTAAAATACTGATAGAGAGGGGAAGGGCCCATTCACACCAATGAACAAAGCGTTTTTAGTGAGTTTTTATTGCATTGCTCTAAAATGTAATGCAACATAAGACAGATTGTCTTCCTGCATGCACATAGAAAATGTGGACATGTGACTTA